TCAAGGGAGCAGTGCAGGTGGGAGGAGGGGAGGGTGGTGAGTGCCAGGCGGCGGGGGGTGGGGGGGTGGCGACGTGATCTGGGGTCTAGGATGGGGCACAGACACCGTAGGGGTGGGGCCTGCCTGGGGACCAGCCTAGGGTGGGGGCAGGGGTGCAGCAAGGGCGGGGCCCGCCCAGGACCAGGCTGTCTGCTCTGTCCAGGTGAGGAGTACATCGCCTGCCTCCCGGACAACAGCTCCGGTGCCGTGGTGCCGGTGGCCTTCTCCACTGCCCACGAGGGCCCGCTGGCACCCGAGGCCTGCGGCGCCTTCTGCTTTGCGGCTGGCTGGGGCCTCGGGGCCCTCTCGGACCAGGGCTGGTGCCTGTGCGGGGCGGCCCAGCCCCCCAACGCCTCCTCGGCTTGCCTACCCTTGTGCTCCAGCCCCCCGCTGCCCCTCGCCCCTGCCTGCGGGGGCCCCACCCTCCTTGAGAACGTCTTCCCTGCCTCCCCAGGGGCCGCCCTGGTGGGGCCTCCAGGACCCCTGGCCTCTGGCCAGCCAGCAGCCTTCCATGTCACTGCCTCCCTACCCGTCAGCTCCACACACTGGGACTTTGGTGACGGCTCCCCTAAGGTGGATGTTGCTGGTCCTGCCACCACTCACCGCTATTCCCTGCCCGGCCACTACCAGGTGACAGCTGTGCTGGCCCTGGGGGCTGGCTTGGCCCAGCTAGGGGCCAAGGTGCAAGTGGAGGCGGCCCCTGCTGCCCTGGAGCTCGAGTGTCCAGTCTCGGTACTCAGTGATGAGACCCTCAAGCTTGGCGTCCGAAATCGTGGTGGCTCCGGCCTGGAAGCCACCTACAGTATTGTGTCTTTGGGCGAGGAGCCAGGTCGAGGTGGGTGCCTTCTCGCCCCCAGGGGCTGGAATGGGTGGGGCAGTCCTGGCTGGGCCCACACTGATGCCCCCATCCCTGCCTGCTGACTCCCCAGTGGTGCATCCGCTCTGCCCCTCGGACACCGTGATCTTCCCCGGTAATGGGCACTGCTACCGCCTGGTGGCCGAGAAGGCCGCCTGGCTGCAGGCACAGGAGCAGTGCCGGGCCTGGGCCGGGGCCGCCCTGGCCATGGTGGACAGTCCCGCCGTCCAGCGCTTCCTGGTCTCCCAGGTCACCAGGTACCTGCCCCCACCCCCAGACAGGCTGTGAGGTGGGATCCCCGGAATGCTGGGTCGGAGACAGAGCCTAAGTCTTGAGGAGGATCAGGAGAGGTGGGGGTGCTTGGAGGGGCCAAGGCCGGCCGGCCGGCCGGCCTGAGTGGGGCCTGGGAGCCCTGCTCATCCGACACCATCTCATCAGTGTTTCAGTCACAGATGTGGAGGTACGGGTAGGGTAGGGGATGCATCACAGGTCCCACGTGCTGCCCACCCCCTGCTGTCCCCTGCCGAGCCCCTCCTGGCAGGGGCAGGGACAGTTCTGGCGTGACCATGGAGGCCACCCACGCACAAGGAACCTCTTGGATGCCTTCGTCCCCCCAGGCCCGCGAGGAAATGTGCTCTCCTATAGCAGGCCTCGCCCCTGCCTCTGCTCTCAGCACCTGCCAGGGCTGGGAAGGGAATGGAGGTTGGACGCCTGCTCCTCCCAGAGTCCCTGTTTGGGGAGGTGTCGATTGCAGTGTGGATCGCACCCTGGACATCCTCAGTGTCCCCCAGAGGAACTCGAGGCCCAGAATGGTCCGGGCCTTTGCCCAGGGTCACTCGGTTAACTGGCGGTAGCCGGGCCCCAGTGCCTGGCTCTGACTATAGCACCTCACTCGTCTCCGGGTGCCATCGTTTGTCCCCGTTCCTGACCTTGTGTCTATCAGCCCGGTCTCCAGGAGGGCCCTCCCACCTTGTCAGAGCTGTGAGGGGTAGCGTTTGGGGAGCTGATGTTCAGGCGTCTTGCTCCCCAAATGCAACACCTGGAGCCTTCTCACGGAATAAGCGTGGGTGTGTGCAGCCTTTGGCCACACTGAGGCCTCTCCCGGCAAGGAGCCCTCAGCTGGGCCCCTGGCCCCACGGGCAGGTGGGGGTGGACATTGCCACCGCCTTGCTTGCCAGGTCCTTTTTCTGAGCCTCGTTTTTCCTCGTCTCGAAAGCGGGGGGAGGGACAAGGTCTCACCTGAGGGGCTGCTGTAGGGAACGAGGAAGAAGCTCCCAGAGAGACAGGGCAGATGGAGGGGTGTCTTTGGAGAGCCCCCCCCCGAGTGCCCTCTCCCCCCACCATCCGCCTGCAGGAGCCTGGACGTGTGGATTGGCTTCTCGGCTGTGGAGGGGGCTGAGGCGGGCCCTGCCGTGCGGGGTGAGGCCTTCAGCCTGGAGAGCTGCCAGAACTGGCTGCCTGGGGAGCCGCACCCTGCCACGGCTGAGCGCTGCGTGCGGCTTGGGCCCGCGGGGCAGTGCAACACGGACCTGTGCTCGGTGCCCCACAGCTACGTCTGTGAGCTCCGGCCTGGAGGTGCGCTTGGGGCTACCGGAGGGGCTAGGGGGCACCTTGTGTCCTGGACCAGGACAGCTGCCTCCCTAAACGATGAAAGGTCTCCTGGCCGCCCTGGGAGCTCCTCCGCATGGCTGTCCCGCCCCCCGCCCCCCCCTCCCCCAGCCCCCAACCACGCAGTGTTTCCCGGCTGCCCCAGGACAGTCCTGTCTCTCACCCAGGCTCCTTCCTAGCTGCTCAGTGTCGGTTTGGTGTTTGCTGAGCACCTGTTGTCCCAACCTGAGCCTGCACCAGATGAAGCAGACAGAGGGGGAGGGGGCTGGGGGGCTACCGACAAGTGGCTCAGTCCTGGGTCTGGCCCTGCCTGGGGCCCGCGGACACCCTCTTCCTTGGCCCGCGACCGGCACCTTACTGTACACGCGCTGTCCCAGGTCCTGTGTGGGATGCGGAGAACTTCCTCGTGGGAGCGCCCCCTGGAGACCTGCAGGGACCCTTGAGTCCCCTGGCACAGCAGGAGGCCCTGTCAGCCCCCCAGGAGCCCGTCGAGGTAGGCTGACCCCAGGACCCTCCACGACCTGATCTGGAGACTTAGCCTTGGCCTGGCTTTTGAGTGTCTCTGAAAAACAAGCTCTTTTTTCTGGACCTTTAACGTCCTACCTGCCGAGGAGAGACGCGTAGGAAGCCCACTGCCGTGCACAGGGGAGAGGTACCCGCCCGGGTAGCTCAGAGAGCTCTGAGTGCTCTTCAGTGTTTTCTCTGGGTGTTTGTGGATTTTTAAAAAACAAGGTCAGGGTCCTGCTGCCCACAGATGGTTTTGACCTGATTTTTTGTCTCGAGTGACCGTTAGCCACAATGTGAAGCCCTGTCTGGGGGCTCCTTCCCCTCTGACCCAGTGGGTGCTGGGGGGGTGGGGTGGCGGGGGCTGGGGTCTGTGGAGCTGAGCAGTCCCCCTTTCCCCAGG